GAGGCTTTAAGTCAACTGAGGTCAACACCTGTTATCAGTATTTTCATTCAGGTCACAAAGAAACGGAAGTAGAGGCAGATTTTTTTTCCATATTACAACGTACCCTAGTGAAAGGAATTATCAAAAAGAGAAGAAAGTGAATGGATGGAGTAGAGTCTGAATGTGAGCTTGCAGTCAATTGTAATAACAGGGTGAGTTTTATGTGGAGAAAACGAATGGAGGTCTCTGGGATATGTCACTGGAAGATCAATGATAGTTTAATTAAAAATACTGAGGTGAAAAATAATAATAATTAAATATGCACAGATGAATCATTCACAATAAAATAGGTTAGAAAATAGATAGGCTGAATAATCATTCCATTCCGTCTTTAACAAAAAATAAAATAATATACAAATAAATATATAACAACAGGGAAACTGTGATTCCAAAAATAAAATTACATTAAAATGAACACAAGTTACTTTTAAGTTTCAGCTTCAAAAAACAATACAAAAATAAAATGCAAATAAATAAATAAAATATATTAATAACCATGTCTGTTGTTACCTTAGTGTAAATCTGAATAGATCAACCAACATTGTGGAAAGCGTCACTAATGCATGATAATGCAGAAGCAATAGAATGATTTCACACTGCTTGAATCTGATTTAGATGACATCTTTGACTAAATGTGGACTACTTTCCACGCAGTTTATTACTGAAAAATCACCAGAGCAAACTTAAGTTAGGGGCAAAGCCAGTGGATAACTGTCCGGTTGAGTGGATGAGGGGCCTTTGGTATGGGGGAGAAATGGGTAAAGCTCATTTTCAGGCAGACTGAATGAGTGCTGAGCATAATAAACGGATCTCCCATGGCAACAGTCTGCAACTCTATTGACTGAGTCCAGCAAAGGATTCATGTTGCAATATCCAATCCACAGCTTATGGGGAAATATAATACTGCTGTCATTAACTAGATATGATATATTTTATAATGACTACTACAGACTATCGTTGTGACATAAACGACAATGATAAAATAATTCCAGTGAACTGATGCCATTATGTGGGAAAGTCCCTTCATCCAAAAAAACAAGAACAAAAAACAAAGGAAAACTAGGTTATAAGCCTTTAAAGGTTTGTCTGTCAGCAACACTCTTTTATTTGTTTTCAGCTATTCAGTCATCAATAATTCAGTTCTATCCATTACTGACTAAACATACAGGTATAATCGAAAGTAAAACTTGTTTCTCAAGAAATGACTTGGTTTCATATGTCAGTGACACATATCCTTAAGTTATCAACATTAATAAGCAACATGCGTCACCTGGAAATTTTGATTGAATGTTATGTGGCAAACATCAAATCCACATTGTCATGTTTCACTGACGAACAATGTTATAATCATGTTAACTGGCTAAACGTGCATTTAAAGAGAGTTGAGTTATAAATGTGATTTTTCTTTCTCTATCTCTTTTATATAAAATCTTACAGTTTATATGATAAAGACTTTATAAATATTTTCTCCTCTAAATTACCCAAAAACTGCAAAGGCGATAAAAGCACGTCATCTGTGTTTTAATATAAACTGAGGTTTTATACTCCATGTCACCATAAAGTAAGCAAAATTAACTCCAAATATAAGCAGTCGAACTGATAGACTGTTTTTGTTGTTTAGCTCTCGAGCTAACGTTAGTCTCCGTTAGCAACCCACACAATCATGCTAATTACACGAATAAAGTTCGATTTCTTTCTCCTTAAAAGAATGTCCAGGTAATGTGTTACAAAAAATATCCTTAAAAACAAAAACATAATAAATATAAAGGAATGAAGAACACGGTAAAGTGAACACTAACACGTCTTTGTTCTTCGTGTATGTTAGCAGCAGCCTGGTTAAGTTTAGCTTCGGTTAGCCAGCGAGTCCCACATACCTGACTGACTGAATAAATCACTCTAAAGATCATTGAAACAACAATATTCAGATTAGAGAGTGTCGCGTCTTACCTTTCGGCTTTCAAACGAGTGACTTCTGAAGAAATGGGGTAAATGTAATGAGAAGGAATGTAAACAAGCTGAGCACAGTAGATGGGACCCTTTTCCTCTTTAGGTTGGAGCAGAAGTGAACAACATTAGACGGGAGGTGAGAGACAGAAAGTATGTGTGTGCGTACAGTTTCTATTAGGCTTTGTAGCTCAGTTTACTTCCTGCTGTAGACTTTATATTGTTTCATGACGTTGTTCGCTTCTCATTGATCTTGAGAGGCTGGGCTTCAACTTCTGTTTATTCTTTTATTACTTATTAACTTTAGCTCAGCCACTCTGACTGCCAAAAACTAGCATGGTAACAGTTACTCCAGTTATTGTTAATACTGTAAAAGTATTGGACTGATCAGAGATCTCGATATTCTTGATGATAGTGGTGGGATACCAAATTAGCAGTTCTACCAATATATCGCATTTACTAGTTCATTAACTATATAGAATATAATCATTTAAATATGTTTTGGCTGATTCTGTCTATATTGGTTCATTATGTAAATAATAAAGTGCTGAACATCAGCTGTCAATTCATTGACCTGTTGAATCGCATTGTTGTAAAGCAACTTAAACTCTGTAAGAATGTTTAAGGTAAAAGTCTCCTGCTCTTCAGCTTACATGTATTATAGGAGTGCCAGTCCTCTGAACACAAAGGATTTGCATACATAGAATAATAACAGTGAAGGTACTAATGTGAAATAACAGAAGCAAGCAACATTTTCCAAAACATGTAAAAGCACTTAGCACATTTTAACTATTTTATTGGGGGTTTTTGTCTGTATGACAATACAGAAATACAGAGCATTACAGAAATATTATTTGACGCTTGACCTGCAATCACAGAAACAAACAGCATCGACTCAGGTATTTATGAGTCTGCAGATTTCATTAGAATTCAAAATTATTTTCATGTCAATACAAAAAGTACTGTCACTGTATCTGCATCCAATAGCAATTGTCTATAGGGAGCACGGTCTACATTACCATATTTTCATCACACTACTTACCATTAATATATTTTTATGCTAAATTATTTGCAGCCATCTATTGTTGCTTTTCAGACATTGTCCATCTTTGAGAACAAATTGTTCCAGCTCAATGAGAACACAAAGTGCCCATCTTTTATATGTATTAGCAAGCTAATTGTTTGTTAGAAGAAGAGTGAAACATGATCACAAAATCTTTAAGCACTAATTATGACATGCATCCATTGCTACGCTGCCAAATGTGCCAGCTACTCAACTACACAACCTCATCATACACAGAAGAAAGTAAACACATAAAAAAATCCAAATAGCTGTATGTTAATAACATACATCAAAGGGGAAAAAAACAACTATAAAAAAAAAATTGCGCACCAAATTGACAGAAATGGCAGTACTATCATACTTCGTCATTTTATATTAATCAGCCTGGTCTACTGTAAAGTGTGATTACAGGATATGACAGCACTTTATCAGTTGATCAGTGTGAACACTTCTGATCACTTTATACAAAACCAGTCAAATTCTGGAAAGTGTAAAACACAAGGAGGCACAAGGATTGTTCAAGAATTTGATTCTTTGCACTAATCAAAACCAGGGAGCCTGTGTAAAGTCCATCTGTTCAAAGCTTACAATTCAAACCTGACTGAAAATTAGGTCACATTTTATTTTGATAGTCCAATTTAGAAATTCTACTAACATGTCATTAGAGTATTACTAGACTGTCTGTTTAAAGGGATAGTTCACCCAAAAATGAAAATTTTGTCATCGGTTACTCAACCTCAAGTTCTTCCAAATCTGTATGAGTTTCTTTCTTCTGTTGAACACAAAACCAGACAGTTGACGGCACCCATTGACTTCCATAGTATTTTTTTCCCCCCATACTATGGAAGTCAATGGGTGCCTGCCGACAACTGTCTAGTTACCAACATTCTTTAAAATATCTTCTTTTGTGTCCAGCAGAAGAAAGAAATTCATACAGGTTTGAAACAACTTGAGGGTAAGTAATGACAACATTTTAATTTTTGGGTGAACCCTCACTTTTAATATCTGCTTACACATTATTTTGATGCTCCCCAACAGACATTCGACTGATTATGAGTAACTTTGCAACCCTAACCCTAACAGTCTATTACAGTCTACTAATACTCTAATGAGAGTTAGTTGACATGTAGTAGCAAAGTTACATATAGTTAGTGCATGTCTAAAGTGGACTATCGAAATAAAGTGTTTAAATACTTTAAATAATTTAAATTACTTTCTGTATTTTTTAAATGTAAAAAAATATAACTTGTAATTTATTAATTTGTTCAGTGTAAAAAGTAACAATGCAACAAATATTCAGATTTTTATATCTCAAACATAACATCTTTAAGGCAAATTTATGGTTCTTCTTGAGGGGTTGGGGTTTACGATTCAGGGATAAAGTCGCAGATTTTGGTTACAAATTTTTCTACAGTCACATTTGAACTTGGTCTCAAGCCAACAACAATCACAGTGTGAGAAAAAGTCACAAGTAGTCTAAAGGCCAATTCACACTGCACCGACAGACGGCGACCAACGGCAATAGTTGCTGTTGGGTTTTGTCGGATCAGTGTGTGTTACCCTGTCAACATCCGTTTGCGTTGGTCGCTCAGTTCAAGTTCAAGATTAAGGACATTGCAAGGTTTTTGGTGATTTGGTTATATATCAATTACAGGAAGAATTCTGGACTGAAATTAAAAGAGTTTAAGAATTAGTTCTGATGTAATGTGACCAAAGCAAAAGGTGAAGTGTGGATTTAGATCTTTATATAATATGCCTAAATCTGTAAGAGTGGGATGCTGAATAAGATAAGATGCTTCTGAGAAAAATGGCTAAAAATACAGCCTGACAAAAAGAGAAACGTATTTAATTAAGTAATGTTAAGACTAAACTTGGTAACACTTTATTTTACAGTGTAATTGTTACATATGTTACATGTTACTATAGTAATAACTATAAATGATGCATAATTACATGCAACTATCCATAAACCAAACCCAACCCTAATCCTAACCCTATGTAGTTTCTTAATATTACTCAGTACTTAAATGTATAATTACAGTGTAACAATATAAAGTGTAACCCTAACATTTTGACACTTGAAACATTTATAAAATAATGAAAAATGAACAAAAGGCAGTGAATAGCATTAAATCACTCCAAACTGAGAAGCTCCACATCGAAGATGAGGGTGGCATTTGGGGGAATAATCCCAGGATGGCCTTTATTACCGTAGGCAAAATCAGGTGAACAGGTCAGCTTTGCGCGTTGGCCCACACTCATCTAAAAGTCACAAAAATATAGGCATGAATTATCTTCTTTCTTTTTTTCATTGAAATATCAATCCTAGACAGACTGGATTTGGTACTTTATTAAGATATTATTTAAACTTCTTTAAATCAAAAAGTGTTACCTATGATTTTGCTGAGCGAGTAAAACACCATCACACACCTGCACAATACCTTCCTCCCAGCCACGGATCACTTCCTGTTTACCAATCTTGAACTTAAATGGCTTTTCACGGTCACGGGAAGAGTCAAACTTTCGTCCATCTGTCAGAGAGCCTGAAGATTTGAGAGGAAAAGGATGAGGCCATGAAAAACAGGAAATTATGTTAGAGCATCAGATAAATAGGCGACTTTATTATTGTTCTGTTCTATCAGGGGGATTTTCCGTCCGTCTAACCCATATCTAATAGCAGTAAATTATCAGGATATGAAACAATAACATGGAGTGGAGTGACATATCCACAGACATAAGGCTGCTGTGAGTCAGTCAAGCAGAAAATGGATCCACCAATCAACACAAATCAGGGATCAGTTCAATTTATTATGAATGTGTATATATATATATACTGTACACAGCAACTGTTATAATGCTCTTTAACAACAATGGTTATTGGCCTTATGACCTGTTGCTATATGACTAATAAGCATAAAACAAGCTCACAGACAAAATATATGTGACCGGTTTTCCATTCTTCTTCCAATGTAATAAATAAATAATGAGATGGAAGCCCTGAACTACAAGATGGAAATTTGTGCGTAAGTGCCTTCATGAGTCTAATTTCCTCATTATTATTATTTTTAGTTCTATATATATTTTTTTTTTTTGCAACATTTTCCCTCCTTTTTATTTTACCTTTATTTACTTATGTAAATTAACTTTTTTTTACTTATAAAAAACTATTACTTAGAGTATTTACTTATTTTTACTATGTTTATGGAGAAAATAAATATGGAGAAAATGCACCACAAATAATTAAAAATTCCAGGAAAAAGATGTAAGAAAAATCAAGTAAGGGTCATGAGAATGTAATCCAAAGTTAAAATGACTGATATGTGGGCTGTTTTTGGCACAATGTTGAATATTATATCAAGGTTGCATATAGCCTAATCATCAAATAATCGACTTGACAGACAGCGATTTCTTAGTTAGTATGAACAATTAAAAGACAATCACAACATCCCAGGGGTCGACTCACTCCAGACAGTGATAATCCGTCTATCCGACATGATACAACAAAGACTAAATCTGTTCAGTCTCAGCTGTCAAATGACGATCATGTGGGGACAAATGCTATGTGTGCAAACAATACACAACTAATGATGCATATTGGCTTGATTTTCTTCCTCGTTTGTTGCTAAATTTTTACTATATCTTTACGGCAATTCGACTTTTCAGATGTATTTCTTAATACATAAATAATATTTCTTAATAATAACCCTTTTTTATTATAATAAACATTTTTACGATAAAGCTACAAATATCAATATAAACACACACGGGCAAACAGGGAAAGATTACAACATCCACTACACCGACCAAAAGAAAATCTGAAATTCAACTCACCAACATAATGCACCACACATGTCTGTCCTTTTTTGGGAAAGGTCCTCCCTGTGATTGCAGCGCGAGGAGAAACGGGGAGCAAGAGAAATGAATTATACAAAGCTGTTAAACGCATGCAGCGTGACGAATAGTATGCTACTTTATATGATAGAGGCTGCACTGGGGTAATGTACCATCGCCGGGGGTTATGGTCTCGATCTCTACTCCCATTTTGTCCCGTTCGTGTGTATGTTTCTGAAGAGCCCTCCTGCACACTGTTTCGCTCACAGCTGTTTGCGGGCAGAGAGAGAGAGAGAGAGAGAGAGAGAGAGAGAGAGAGAGAGAGAGAGAGAGAGAGAGAGAGAGAGAGAGAGAGAGAGAGAGAGAGAGAGAGAGAGAGAGAGAGAGAGAGAGAGAGAGAGAGAGAGAGAGAGAGAGAGAGAGAGAGAGAGAGAGAGAGAGAGAGATGCTGTCGGGTCACGTGACTGCACTACAACATGATGACTGATGTGGCCCGTCCCCTTTGATACGAGTAAAAAATATATATATATGTATTGGAGGACAATTGGTCATATTCAAATAAAAAAATGGTGCTTTAAAGCCTATTCTTATTATTCGTATTATCACCTTTGACTTTAGCATGCAAAAAGTGTTTGGATGGACGGATGGACGGATGGACGGATGGACGAGGACAGACAGACAGACAGACAGACAGACAGACAGATAGATAGATAGAAAGATAGATAGATAACTTACAGGGGAAAACATAGGGAGTTATTGCAGATTTTCACCTCTCCTCCAGCGTTCTCTATTGAATCCTCCAGCTCATTGTAATGTACCTGTTATATAACATGTTCTCAACACTCACTTTAAAGTGGTGTAATGTGGGTGACTGGAGAAGCACATATCCACCTCCCACGTCCCCTCCATGAACAACTTGACAGTCACCCAACACATGTTGATCTTAAAGGGATAGTTCAACTAAAAATTCTGCCACTATTAACTCTTTCACACGTAAGTTTAAAATATTCTAACTGACCCCCCAGCGTGAGTTTTTCAAGGCGACCGTTATTTAGAACTTGTCAATTTAATGTTTCCATGGTGACGCGTCATTGCTTGTCACGTGACACAGCGCAACCACAACCACAACACAGCGCTGAATGAATGATGATCTGCTTTTATGTAATTTTTCCTTTTTTATTAAAAATATTCACAAATGTATTAGCTATAGCATGAAACACTGATATTCCAATTGTCAAATATGTGCAGGTGGATGGGTTTTGTTGTTTAAACATCTGTATCCGCGTTAGTTGAGCTGTATGCACAATGCACAACTACATTTTAGTTTGTTTTACAGTTCAGAGAATCGGATCTGTTGGATTTACAACACGTCAATTCCTCCACTTCTCACGGAATACATGAAAGTAAGTGGCCGGTGAACTGGGAGAAGAATAGGGTCAAATGTAAAGCTACTTACACAATGTGTATCTGATATGAATAAAACGTGTCGTCTTATTATAATGGAAAGGATTATTATTGGCGCATCCATAGACATCAATGTGTATTTTACAAACTCAAAATCATTGTTTTGCTAGTACTTATGTGTATTTAAATGTCTGAAACCTAAAATAAACATTATGTGGTTGAAAACAGATATATGACAGCTCTGAGTGCCTCCGTCTCTGGCTCAGCACCAGCCAACGCGTGAAAGCACGTTTGAATTTAGCAGTTGATTACGTGAAGCACTGACCTTTTAATCACACCGGTGTGATCGTACACTCCAGGGACCAGCCAAGACTGATCACACGTACGCTCAAATGCCCGCCTTGCTCTGTTCTGTGTGACTCTCCTGTTCGAACTCGTTCATCAAAATGAACGAATCTTTTTTCGAGTCATTTGATTCATTTAACGAGTCATTTGATTCATTTAATGAACGAAATGAACGAATTGACTCGGAAAAAGATTCGTTCATTTTGATGAACGAGTTCGAACAGGAGAGTCACACAGAACAGAGCAAGGCAAGCATTTGAGCTTATAAAACTTAAAAAAAAAAAAAAAAAAATTTTAAATGAGCGATCGTTTCGCTTGATAAGACCCTTATTCATCGTCTGGTGTCGTTTAAAGCCCTTTGAACAGTTTGCAGTTTGCACTGAAACTGTCTTTTGGACCTTGAACCGTTTGCTGCCCTGCAGTAAAGTGCATTATATCCTCCTGGGACCCAAGAATAGACTTTTGTCCACTGTAGTGGACATTATATTTTAGTGAATTTCTCTGACATCATACATGTCACATGACACAACCTGGGTGTCCTGTAAAGAGCACATTCAGGACTTTTCAGAGATACCAAATGTTTGGAGGTTTCACCATGAAAACAACTTCTCCTTGGTCTTTAAAAATGTCTGACATTAATTTAGTGATCAAATGTAACATTCTTATGGAAATATGATAATATATTGTAATTATATTTAAATTGGACTACTTTTTCAAATTGTATTTCATAAAACAACATCTCAGGAAAATGTTAAGGGGTTTCAAATAAAAAAATTACTCTCTGTTACAGAACAGGGCATTGATTTCAAACGTGTCCACTGTAGAGGACATCAGGACTTAAATCATGTTTATCAGGCATTCTGGGAGACACAACAAGTGAATATGGAAATAAATTATACATCAATATTCCTATGAAATATTAGATATTATTATTAAAATGTTGCCAGAATTATTACTCCAATTATTACACTTCTTTTTTCAGTAAATGTTGCTCCAAGAACACATTAATGTGCAAATTAGATACAGTGTATAGATACATTGCATTGAATGGGAATATTAATTTATGGCCATTTTACCCATATATTGCAAAAAGTAAAATGGTGTATCAATTCATTCCATTATTTCTTTCATAACATAGTTGAGAATAATCTTTATACAAATTTTGGTTGAAAAAATCCTGAAACCCCAAAATTTATTGGTGATTGAAAAAAAATCCCATTGTTTTTGCCTATACATATAATTTCATGTCATTTTATTTTTTAAACAACTTAGTCCTGGCGTCCACTACAGAGGACATAGCATAACGTATGAATAAAATATTATTTTATATATGTGTTTTTTTACCATTTGTTTATTGTGCTCTAAACAGTGTGATGACATGGAAAAAAAACAAATTAAAAAAACTTTTTTTTTCTGGGTCTCAGGAGGATATGGAGAAAAATCCTGGAATGTTTTCATCAAAAACCTTAATTTCTTTTCGACTGAAGAAAGAAAGACATGGACATCTTGGATGACATGGGGGTGAGTAAATTATCAGCAAAAGTTTTTTTTAAAGTGAACTAATCCTTTAATTCACATCCATGTCGTTCCAAAACTGTTTATTTTTCTTCTGTGGAACTTAGAACATAATTTTCATGGATACAGTGGAACTCAATGGGCACCAAACTGTACCAACATTCTTCAAAATATCTTCTTTTGTGTCCGTAGAAGAGAGAAAGTCATAGTGGTTTTGAGTTAGTAAATTATGACAGAATTTTCATTTTTGAATGAACTGTTACTTTAAAGTTGTCATGAAAAGCAAGTTGAGATAGTCTTATTCCCTATTGTGATGTATATAGAAGAGAGCGGGGCACAACCTAACACATTTTGGTTTTGGCTCAATTATTAAAAAAAATTATTAAGTTAGATTTAACTTTTTTTTACACAAGCAACACATCTCTGCTACAAATGAACTTTTAAAGTTTTTTTCTAGGACCTACCATTTTCGTACTGTTGCACTGAAAGTGACAGAAGTGCAAATGTTACAACTTATCCCATATGCGGGGTTAATTGTAACAGACAGATGGGTACCGGTAAGTTGTAACACTTGTGTGGAACACACATAATTCAGTACTATTTTATTAGTATAGTTTGATATTGTTTGTGCATCTGTAAAGATATCCATAAATCCATCCCTCATCCAATCATCTTTCTATTACGGATCAATATCATGGATAGAGACATAGAAAAGGGCTGCACAGTTTTGCAATAAATAAATAAATAAAATCATCAAATATTGTAATTGCAATTCAATTAGATTTGTGTGTGGCAGCTGCATGTAAAATTATTATTATTATTAATAATAACAGTAATAATAATACAAATGAACTTAAAATCTAAATTTAAAGGATTTATCGCATTAAAAACAGGCCATATTTTTTATAAATATACAAGTGATCAATGCATAGTAAACTAAATTTTAAACATTTTAAATTCCAACATTGTTTGTGAAAGTCCAACAAAGTTAAATATATAAATAAATACTCAAACCTGAAAAGTTGTGTGGCTCCCTGTTTTCATTTGATTATCATTGTACACTTGGCGGCTTAGTTGTAACACTGTGCTACAACTAACCCCGCTGTGTAAAACATATTTTAAGCCTAGCTAACAGTTGCTGACATGTTTCAAAACGGTGTTTTGTTTTAGCAAACAAGACAGTGATTAAGGCAATATAAAATTAGATTTGGAAACGTACAACTCAGAAACCGAAAAAAAACCTATGATGAAAAAATGTACTTGCATGGTGACAAAACACTCTTTGTCCAGTATATTCATGAAATATTATCAAAACTTTCCACGAATTCGCGGGAGACCGTCTTCTGGCAGCGAGAGAAAAAGAGCGGAAACACAACCGGCTTGATCCTGACTAACTATGTAAAAGGTCCGTGTTACATTCAACCCCGCGTTAGGTGCATGCCCCGCGCTCCCCTACGAGTGAAACAGCTTCTCAGACAAGAAAAAATTTAGGGGGCACACTTGATTTTGTCCATGGGGAATTGATTAGGTGATTGTGGTTTGCTATTGCTGTGATCTCACGTGAGTGACAGTTCATTCCGTCTTCACCGAAACATGTTCAGGGAAAATGGGAGGAGAAATTATTTTAATTAAACACTATGAGGGCACATGAATTAAACATAATAATAATGTGCATGGATAAATAAATTTGATTAAATACTGCAATCTTCCATAAAAAAACAAGAACTTTGTCAACTTTGATTTCATGGTGACTTTAAGGCCTAATAACTAATGGCCACAAGAGGGCGCTGAACAGTTTTCTGCAAGGCAAGACAACAAAAAGATGACCGTGGACATATTTACACATGGCTGTTTATTTATACACTTTTACATCATTATCATCATTACTATTTCTGATAAAAAATGCTGATACAAGTACATACATACACGACACGCTGTGTATCTTTTCAATGAAATAATACTCTCTCAGCTTAATAATAATAGACAGTTATCAGCAAGCCTTTCATTGGTTGAATTCTCTCAAGAGTTTTAAACACTTTGCAGCAACATTGGCTTCACATGTGGTCTAGGTTTTAGGCGGGACTATCTGTTTGTCTGGATTTGGAGCAGAAATTACACACTGCACTTTTAAGTCTAGCCTACTAATGTTTCTCAATCCTGAGGCCAGTTGCAAACTGCTTAGACTAGTCTTACAAGTTACTCATGCAATTTTTTACTTTAACACTGGTCATAGATTATTATTATTTTTTTATGTCAGTAACATAAAACAGTAAATTGGTCTAATTTGAATCCAAAAAGAAAGACTGGTTACCTCTTAACTCTCTAAAAAATCTTGGGTTCTTTTTTCTACCAAATCCTGGTTTGAGCCTTCTGGGTACATTTTTGGGGTTATTTTTTCAGTGTTTGTGTAGTTTTGTGTTACCCAGCTCCTGGGTCAGAGATAACAACCCAATTTGGGTAGTTTCAAGTACCCCAGAGTGCAGTCTGGACGATGGGGCGGGGCGACATATTTGGGCGGGGAAACACGTGTCGCTCCGCCCACTCCCAATTTTAATTGGTTTATATATTTGGTCTATCTTTTTGGTCTGTATTTGGTAATCTCAACTCGTACCATAGACCAGAACCTAGACAGTAAAAGAAATGGACACAGCGACTCCATAGATTTCAACGGAGAAAAGTGAAGTCAATTAAGGTAGAAGCACTCACTTCCTGATGGCTGAGCGTACTGCACAGGCTCAAACTGAGCTTGACGATGTAGATGTGACGTGAGCAACCTGTCTGACAGTTGTAAGTCTTCTAGTAGCTGTGCCAAGAGGAATCTGAATCATTACCTTCCGAATCTTGCAGAGACTGAGAGCGTGAGTAGGAGCTGTCCATGAGCTAGCAGCAGGATCAACTTTATGACTCTCTATGATGGGCTTCTCCCTTGACTTTATGCCTCCATGTCCCCCCGATTGCCTGCGAGCTTCTCCTCCTGTCTATACGGTCATTTCTCTACTGTGCGACAGAGAGTCGCGTGGTTCTGACGCAATCGTTAGCCTATTTTTACAAAAACGGCTTCTACGGGGCTGTAACGTATGATACAAAGTAATATACATTGTCCTGTTTCTTTAGAAATAAATAATGGACAAATGGAGTCTTTTGACGCCTCAGATGTAAAGTTATTCGCTGTCAAAGTGACGCCAAAATGAATGGGAGTCAATGGAATGCTAACAGCAGGTGATGGTCTGCTACAATGGCGGCCCCCAGGGTGGATTCAGTTTCAGGCTGATGGATTACCCCCTTGGACCAGACTCGGACATGAAGGAATGCGCATGCTCATACCTCAAGCGTCTACGCCAATAAGATTGCTGTATTATAAACCAATAAAATTGGGCGGAGCGACACGTGTCACCCCCAAGGGGATAATCCACCAGCCGGAAACTGAAGAATCCCTGGGGGCCGCCATTGGCTTGTGGAGGCATAACGTCCGGTAAAGTCAAAGAAGAAGCCCATCATAGAGAGTCATAAAGTTGATCCTGCTGCTAGCTCATGGACAGCTCCTACTCACGCTCTCAGTCTCTGCAAGATTCGGAAGGGAATGATTCAGATTTCTCTTGGCACCGCTACTAGAAGACGTACAACTGTCAGACAGGTTGCTCATGTCACATCTACGTCGTCAAGCTCAGTTTGAGCCTGCGCAGTGTGCTTGGCAATCAGGAAGTGAGTGTTTTTAATGGGCCTGCCCAAATGGGTCTAAAGTGGGCTTGCACCCGGGATCCAACCATGGCTACCCAGATGGGCTTTAAATGGGCTCTGTAAGAGTCTTATGTGGGTCCTAACTGGGCAATTCATGCCAGACCCATTGGGGCCCCACCTGCTCAAAGGGGTTTAAAGTGGGTTTGCACCCAGGATCCAGCCGTGGATGCCCAGATGGGCTTCAAAAGGGATCTATAAGGGTGTTATGTAAGATCTGAACCGGACAAAACATGACAGACCCATTTGGGCCCCACCTGCTTAAAGGGCGTTTAAAATGGGCTTGCACCCAAGATTCACACAGGGGGCCAGCCGTGGATGCCCAGATGGGTTTTAAGTGGGACCTGTAAGGGTCTTATGTGGGTCCTAACTGGGCAATTCATGCAAGGCCTATCTAAGCCCAACCATGCCAAATGGTTTAAGGAAACAATCTAAGAAAAACTAAAAACGAAGAATGAATATAAGTCCAAGATAAATACAAGACACTTGACGCTTTGAACTGCAAGAAATATATTATTAAATTGAACAACAAAAATGATCTTTAAAAAACAATTTAAATGTCACAACTTACCGGTAAACAAATCAAAAATATAATGCCATTTTTGTACAAGCTAATATGATTCTTTAGAGTCTAAATTAAAACTTTGTAATATACTTTAATTAAAAATTCTCATTAGTATTGTAAGAAAACACTTATTTTACCTGGTCAAAAACAGCTCTGTTTTCAGCACGCCGTTTCAGTGCATATGACTTTAAATGATAATGAGCTTTGCTCACCCCGCCTCTCTGTTCTGTGTACACCGTTTGTAACACAATAACCATAACGTGTTGTTCATTATAGACGTGGGATTATGAATTATATTGAGAACGTCGTACATAGAAAACATGCCGTAATGTACCCTGAGTGTAAACCTTAGACGCATTCATTGTGAAGCGTGCAGCTAGCGATTTGCAAAGATTAATATAAATATTAAAGATTAATAAAACGTTACACTCACTTCAGTTATTTGGAGGTTCAGCAGGAACACGAATAGTTGGTTCCGGTCCAGGAGCAGCTTCTTAGCAAAACCAGCTTTATACTGACCCTCCTCATTTATAAGCAGTCTGGTGTGTGAAATGATTCGCGCAAATATGAAAGCATTGACGTTGCTCGTGGGGAATATTCCCTTCGAAAACAAACTCAGCCACTGCGTCTTCAGCGGTTCGGATTTAGGAACATTAAAATGACTGTGTTCGTTATTACACCCAAGAACAGAACACCACAATCGCTTAGACGCCATTCTGCTCATAGACAGTGCTCCAGCATATCAACAATGACCGCGCCGGTCCGCGCGGACTATGATTGACAGCTGGCTCACGAGCAAGGGCGGGTCTGTGTTGAAACCCGGCTGTCAATCAACAATCGCGGGAGGGGCGTCCGACCGTGTGACGTCACACGGTCGAACGGCTTGATTTGAGACAGGGGAAAACATATAAGGAGATTAAAACAAAAACACTGGATGGATTTTTATCATTTTATGATGTTTGTGTACAGGCACTGCCAACACACATTTCAGTACAATCAACTTGTAAAAGTGCATGTACCATTATATGACCCCTTTAAAAAAAATCTCTGAAAAAAAAACATCTCTCCAAAAAATACATGAATACAAAATTGTTACATTAAACAACAAACATAATCTTTAAAAATCTATCAAAACCATGCCCACTTGCCCCATAAATATGCCATTCAAGACCCATATATGTGTTCCCAGATCAAACCCATGCCCACTTGGCCCATCAATATGCTATGCAGGACCCATATACTGTATGTGTTCTCAGTTCAAACCCATCCCCAATTGGCCTATGCCTGTCCCTTATGGGGCCCATGTAATCAGCTCATATGGGCTTCCTATGTGGGACTCATACTACAAAACCTACATGGGACCCGCTGATTTCACCCAGCCAAAGCCCATGCCCACACAGTAACCATGGAACCCGTACTTAACCCATCTGGGCCCCACATGTCATTGCTGGCTGGGAGTGTTGGGGTCCCTCGAGAACAAAATTGAGAAATATTCACCATGCACAATACAAAGCCTTTCCACTGAGATGGAAAACAAAACATGTTCATTATTAACAGTTCCACAACCTGTAAATGTTAGTGGAATCCTTGACATACTGAGTGATTACTTCATAGGCTCAGTTCTTCTTCTCCTTTCATGCTGGTCTCTGTCCTGTACATGTTAAGAAAACAGGCAGTGAAGGCATAGTTTAAACAGTTATAACAACCTAATGCAAAACTGGAACACAGTATGAGAACATGAAGACATCACTGAATATGTTACTTAACATAGTAGTGTTGAAATGAATGCAAAGACTAAAATAAAATGAACCTTTTGTAAGTTTGAAAGAAGTTGCTTCCGTATAGCAGGAAGATCTGGCAACAAAAATGTCACTAGTTCACTAAGAACATTGTTTATCTGTCATTATTGTATTAGTATGAAGAAATAATTAACGTATCACGCATCAACCCCTCAACCCAGCCAGTTATTTTCCAAAAAAAAACCTCTCAATCTTATACAAACAGAAACACATACCTTGCTTTCCTTAAAGCTTTCTGGATTTTCTGCCGTCGCTTTTCATTGATGGGATAGAAGTAAAAAATCACCAAGCTGATGAGCAACAGGCAGATGGGCACAGGAGCGAAGAGTATCCGCAGCGAGTTTATCACCTCTGGATTATGTTTACAAGCACCAGGCTTGTATCCTGCGAAGCTGCAGAGTTAAGGATGAATGTTAAAGTATTGTGAAATCAGTCACGGAAGGTTTTTGGGGGTTCAAATAAAAACTTTGTGCACAGGAGATGTTTAAAAATAACATTTGTTACCATTACTGGCAAACAAAAAACAATCTGATTGAAGGAAGCTCTTACTGTAGTGCCAAAGTTGAGATTCCAACAGACATGCCTCCACCAAATTTGTTGAAGAAAACATAACAGGAGTAGAATAGTGGTTCTAGATCCTGGCAAGATGGGTTCTTGGCTTTGAAATCATCCACCACATCTGGCAGCATTGACCTAAAATAAACAATTATTCTGGTTTTATAGTATGCCTATGGTATGTTCAATATATATAATTTGACCAAAAATACTGTAAAACAAAAAAAACTGTATTATTGTGAAATGTTCTATTTTCAGCAGCAATTGCTCCAGTTTTCAGTGTCACATGATCCTTTAGAAATCATTCTAATAAGCTGATTTGTTGCGCAAGAAACATTTCTTATTATCAATGTTGAAAACAGTTTTTGTGGAATGATACATTTTTGGTTAATAAAAAGTTCAACCGTAAAGCATTTATTTGGAATAGAAATCTTTTGTAACAATGTAAAAGTCTTTACGGTCACTTTTGATGAATTTAATGTGTCCTTGATGAATAAAAGTATTAATTTCTTTCTTTCTTTATTAAAACTTACTGACTTACAATCTTACTTAGCTTGACTATGTGCATTAAAGCATGGGAAAGTATGCTTTCCTAGTCATGGGGGACCAGTTTCCAGATAACACAATTCTGAATTGGCCCAATCACTGCCAAGCATATCATAGAATAATTCCCAGCTGACCACTATCTGGGTTAGCGTAATGTCTCAATAATGAAAGAGGAGCTGGTGTGGAGTATGTGTTGGAGCAAGTAAGGGCTTTAACAATGAAGAAGAGATATTTTATAAGGGTTACATTACCAAGGGAGTAAATAGAGGACTGCCATACTTGTGCCGGCTAACATGGACATAATAATGAAGACGGGTAAATTACTATTCACTAGGGATATCACAATTAGAGTTGGGATGTAAATCTGCAGAAGAGAGGAGAAAGAAAGATGAAACTGTGGAAACAAATATAGAGCTTTAATTGTTAAAGCCATTAAAAAAAAACAATTAACAAAAAGGGGTGCTCACTGAAAGGCCGATGTATATAGTGGTCTTCTTGCCTATGTTGACCAATAATGTCTGCCACACTGGGATTGATATTGTGGCTGCTGTCTGTAGAAGAGCAGAAATTATAATATTTCTAATTAGGCCTATCCCTTCAAATTAACAGCTAAACCTGCCTGAATATTGTATAATTTTACACGTGTTTAAGATAAAACATTCAAAAACATAATATGTTGTGCTTTAATATAATTTTCAAATGTAATTAATATAATATAATACTTCATGTTGTAACATCAAAATTAATGGGTCAAGTCAAACGTTTTATTTACTATTTAATTTGATACTATTTAACAGGTAAAGCAGCCTGACACGTTTTTTAGATCATGCAGAAATAGCTACTTGCAGTACTTCATACTATACACTTTTGAAATAATGGATACCTCACCAATAATATGAGAACAAGATGCTGAAAATATCCTCCCATATTCGCTGCATGAGTACAGAAGAGGGCGAAATTTCCCTGAGCCATCTGAAACAAATATTCGTGTCATCACGACTACAGTCATACTTTATAAATTCCATTTTTTTTGTCTCTACTGTATGACTAATATAAAAACTATAATACATAACAGGGCATCTTTCTATGCAATACAAACATGTTGATTTTGGTATATTAACTACAATCACTTCAAAAATAAATTCATGATTTAAACAGAAAAACTTCTGACCTGGAAGGCAAGTGAAGCAAAGAGGAAGCCAAATACAAGCCGCACATATGGAGTGTGTCCCCATATCATCTTCATACCAGTAAGATAGGAGACATTTATGCGGTCCAGTTTACTCAGAGGGGCTAAAGTAAAATGTAGACACATGCAAACCATTGAATTACTCTAGACGTCACTGCATCTAGTCATTTATCCCCAAAAATAAATAAATATAGCTATAGAGTGTTTGAAACTGATGTGGTACTATTAGTGAAGCTGGAAAGAACATGTAGTATGGTATTTGAACTCGTGTTAATTCATTTGGACTTACCCAACTGCTCCTTTACTCCAAGAAAAAGCACGAGGCAGCACAGAAAGTACAGCATTCCTAATATCAGTGCACCAGTCATATAGGCTGTTCTCTGTAGAAATTACAAGACAAATGGCACTATACCTTTCAAAACACTTTAATTCTGCATGGACACATTAAATTGATCAAATGTAAGACTAAATACATTTTCTAACATTACAAAAGATTCATATTTCAAATAAATGTTGTTCTTTTAAAAAGTTCCATCAGTCCAAGAATACTGACAAACATGTATGATGGTTTCTACAAAAATATTAAGCAGCATAACTATTTTCAAGATTGATAATAATAATAAATGTTTTTGAAGCATCAAATCAGCATATTAGAATGATTTCTGAAGGATGTGACACTGAAGACTGCAGTAATGATGCTGAAAATTCTGCTTGGCATCACAGGAATAAGATAGAAAACGGCTATTTTTAATTGTAATAATATTTCAAAATGTTACAAATTTTACTGTATTTTTGATTAAATAAATGCAGCCTTAGTAATCATAAGAGACTGCTCTTAAAAACATGAAGAAATCTTACTGACCCCAAACTTTTGAATAGTGTTGTTAATTCAACTAAATCTTCAAAACCTAAAATATCTTGTCTAAAGAGTCTAATTCCTGTTCCTGGAAATAAAACAGAAGATACTTTGTTGCTGAATTTAGATATACATTTTATGGTTTATAATATGATATTTAAAGCCTATTGGAGGCATGTGTTGCACAGGCACTGCATTCTCTGGTACAACACTGGTTTCATCATTCTCTGATACAACACTTCCCACAACAAGGCCCTACGTTTGCTCAAAACAGGAAGCATCTTATCTTCTACACATGACTGAATTATGGATTTAAGAAAAACATTTGCCTCGATAGTCGGCAGTCAAAATGTGTGGCCATTTCACAAGCAATAACTATAAGAACTTCCACTATGTCCATTAATGTGCTTGACAGAATTGTAAAAGGGTCATTTCTGTGCCTCACTGTATTTTGTAGAGCTATGCCATCTGTGTGGTTCCCAGAAGGCTCATCCGTGCCATTCTTTAAGCTGCAGATGTCTGTTTTTTTGGCATGGTGCACTCCCACTATCTGACCCTGAATGGCAGCTCCCGCCAGGGTGGCGAACACTTCCATGCCCATTCCTGTATCGTGACAGAGAGCAAAGGTCTTGACTGTTTTCTCTTTTAAACAGGAAACAGATTTCAGTTAAGGTTATAGCCTTTAAATCCAAGTAAATATAAATAAATCCCTATAAATTCCGCTGTATCCTGCTTACAAATAATAATAAAAAAGGTAGAAGAGAGGAAGTGTCTTAATACATTTGATCACTCTTTCTATCTGTTGCTCTCTCTATGCCAATGCTTTTTCAAAACTCAAGACAACAATTAAAGTTTTAATTTTTGAATTTCTTTGAATTCCAATTAATTTGAATTTTACTTCCTTATAGAAATTTGAATATTCTTTTGTTTGCTTTCTCAATTCAAATTAAATTCAAATTCATTCTATTATTCAATTCTGAAAGGCACACAACACTGTTATTACACTGAACAAATGATTTGTAATTGGCCTATTTCTTTTGAATGCTTCTGAATGTCCAATCTTTGGAAATTTCTAGATTATCAGCCATTTTTTGTCACTGTAAATGACAGATGACGGCTGTAATACTGTAAGCCACAGGAAATGAAAAGTTAAGATGCATGGCAATTCTATCAACTTGCCCCACACTTATCTCCTAAAAAAAGTGCTATTGGTGCTTGAACCACAATGATTGTCATTTGAGGCTATATTTTTTCTTACTGTAACCAGTGGCTGAGTCTCGGTCCTTCTCATTCCCCCCCAGAAACATGTTGAGGGAAGAATATGGCACATGGTAGCACTGAGCAAGACATAAAGAGAAAGAAATGTTTCGGATTGTGAACTTGTGAATCATCGTTATATTAGCAAACATCGCTGTTTGAAAATTAAAGTAATGAGTACTATATTTAGTCACCATAAGTACTTCAGAGGAAAGAGCTGAGCACAATAGTAGTGACACTGTATTTTTGTTTGCAATGTAAAACAAATTTACATTTTAAAGCATTATTACCTCAATTCAAAAACAAATTTAAATTGGGTCATCCCCCTAAGCAGGAAATGTCCTTGACAGCTGAAATGTTTTAACGCTGAATGTGTAAAACAACTGAAAACTGTGGGCAGATAATAGTGATAGTGGGCTTACACTCATGAAGGTGTCAAACAGACAGCACCATATGAAGTACCAGCTGAAACTGAAGGCAGAGGACATGGTGTCCTGTGGCGTATACCAGAGCATGACGTACGATGTGACCCCAAGTGGCATAGTGAAAACAACCCTGTGTAAAGAGGGTGGATCACATAATGATGCACATTAGACATATAAAATAAAAAATAAAAAAGACACAATCCTCATTTATATGCTCAATGTAGTATAAATGTAAACTCTGGTCTGATTTTAGGAAGTGCTTCACACTTAGTCAGATATTAACCAGTACACTCAGTCACTCACCAAGGAATAAGTTTACCAATTCTGGTCCGGCCACTCTTGCTCACAGCATATCCAATCAGAGGATCCGTAATGGCATCCCAAGCTCGACCGAGGAAGAGGATGATGGATGCAGAGAAAGCGTCCATCTATGAAAAACATTTGGCCAGAAGAAAATTACTTATTCTCATAAAACACTCATTATACCACATTATTGTAAAAAATAATATGTAGCCTATAATATGTAAATACGTTTGTAATAAAAAAATCATTTACTTATAAAACAATGTTTTACCAAGTTGTTAAAGTACATCTTATATTAACTTTCACAGGATATTTCACATATGCCTACTCTTTTTTTTACTTCCTGTGCTAACAGTTCAGTAAAAAGTGTTGAGTGTGTGGCATGTAAACATGACATGCAAATTGAGGAAGAGTTGAGATGAACCATGATGAAACCTCATGAGTTTAATAAATGCTCAGTTGTTCTAACTTTCCAGAAACTACAGCTCACACAGTGATTGTCTCTCACGAAACTCCCTCAAATAGCCCATAAGGAAAGTGAATGTGTACAGGGTCTGAACCTACAACCTCTTTTTTTACAGTCTATGGTCTGAACCTACAACCTTTAATTTATCAGCCTAGATCCTTTAACCACAACGGGATGTTTTTATTGTCTTATTGTTTGTATTGACTATCATTTTTGGTTAGATTTTAATGGAAAATAATGCTCAGTTAAGTTATACAGACTGGATTATATTTAGTTCAAAAGTAATCAAACAATATCATGTCGCACATTCACACAGTGAAAAAGCTAACAAATCATTATTATTATGTAAACAATGTGCGCATTTTCTATTATTAAACAAATAACGTTCATACTACTGTTGTATAGGGTGATTTCCTGCATCACTAAACAAACTAATGGGTGTGGTATCGTAAAAAATCTAAATGTTTTACTAAGAGTGTCTGACAGGCTGCTGTGAAAGTGAATTTGAACAGAGGACATCTATTTAAATGGTGTTCACCACTGACAGCTGCTGAAGAAGATCACATCTTCTATTCTTTTATACTCACCTTCACAACATCCAGTAAAAAGATCTGCATGAAAAAGCCCTTGGCGGTTGAAGTCATTTGATAAGGCATTCCTCCAATGGCATAGCACAGTTTCCTGGACAAAGGGATGCCTGGATTTATCTGCACGAGATTAACATGTAAGCATCAATGTCACATGTGAACCCTTTAGTGAATGATGTGAATTACTTATTCTCATGTCGTTCTAAACCCGTAAGACTTTCGTTCATCTACGAAACAGAAGATTGAAGATCTTTTTGTTGAAATCTGAGAGCTTTCTGTCCCAGACAGCTGCGCAACTACCAATTTGACACTTCAAAAATTTCATAAAGAGATCTGAAAACTAATCCATATGAATAGAGCAAGCGGCAAGCAGGGCGGGGCCTAGAGCCGTGGGAACGGAGCGAGGCTGGTGGCGCGATTGCTATCGCTGTGTGAATTCCGCGGTGCTATCGAGCTAAGCCGACTCAACTGCCATAGACACTCGAGGTGGTGGGCTGGAGTGACTTGCCGGGGAGACGGACAAACTCGCTGCCGGCCGCCTGGGTTGTGAAGGGGCGGCTGCAGTCAGAGAGGGAGTGGAGTAGTGGCCGTCATTTGCTGAGGCTGAAGCCTGCTACCGCCCGCCATGATGGGGAGCAGCAGGGAACGGGAGACTCCTACCAGAGGACCCGTCGGCATCCACCAGGTGGTGGAGGAGTCAGCGGGCCGTCCACCGAGGGCTATCCAGCGCCACTGCAAGGCATCGCGCAGGAGTTGACCCAGCTAGTGGAGGATCATTTTTTTCTTTCTCCCCTCTGTCTCTCCTCATCCTTCTGTCTCCTTTTGTCTCGCCTTGTCTGTCCTTACCCCCAGGTGCCGCAGTTGCCGTGACTGGCCCCCCGGAAGGGGAGTAGAGCACAGTCTCGTAGGTACCCCCCGGCCTGCGAGGGTCGATGGGGGTATGTAGCAAGCAGGGCGGGTCCGAGAACCATGGGAACGGGGCAAGGTCGGTGGCGTGATTGATAATGAGCGTCACCTGTGCGCCACACCGGTCTCGAGTGGCTTCGGATTTAGAAAAGGAGAGATGACAGTGAAGGATGAGAGAGTCCATGCCTGGACTATTTACTTTGTGTTTTAACAATGTTTTTATGCGGCAGTCGTCCGTGAGGGGCTGCAGCTTTACTTTCGTTTTGTGTTTATTTCTTTTGATATTAAAGTGTGTTGAACGTTCGCCGTTTCCCGCCGCCTTCTTCCCTGAACACTAACCTTGCTACAGAGCGGTGCAGTCAAAATTTTCTTAAGAGACTCAATTGCTTTATATAATGAACAGATTTAATTTAGGCTTTTAATAACATTTAAACATTGATCAGCAAACATAAACATGCAAGAACAAACCTCATTGGTTCTTACGGAAGCTTAAACGTGCTGCGTAACACACAAGGATGAATCTCATTGGTTCTTGAGGAAGCTCAAACGTGCTGCATAACACACGAGAATGAACCTCATTGGTTCTTGCGGAAGCTCAAGCGTGCTGCGTAACACACGAGAATGAAACTCAGTGGTTCTTGCACGTCAAACATGCTTGAGCTTCTGTTTACCACAACTGATGTGTGAGTTGATGAATGCTTATACGCTACCAGTCAAAAGTTTTTGGACACTGTGAAATTTTCATGTTTTATTTTCAAGAAACAACATAATACCATTACAATCACTGGATATTCTTTATACCAACATTAATATACAGAAAATAAAAATTAAAGAACAAAAATACATATTTTGTCTAACAAAAAGTCTAGATCTTAGACTCCTTTTGCAGCTCTAACTGCCGAACAAATTAGGCATTCAATCAAGTAGAGTTTCTAAATATTGTTCTGAAAGTTAACTCCAGAAGTGTTGAAGAAGTGTCCACAGATGCTCAGCACTGGTTGGTTGTCTGGCCTTAACTTTTCTGTCAAGTTCATCTTATACTAACTCGATAGGGTTGAGGTCGGGTGACTGTGGGGGCCATGTCATCAATTTCAGATTTCCTTCTTGTTCATTTTTCTTCAAATAGTTCTGGGAAAGCTTAGATGCGTGTTTCGGATCATTGTCCTGTTGTAGTATGAAGGACTGTTCAATTAGTCTCAAGCCAGATGTTATGGCATGTCTCTGGAGAACACTATGGTAACCCTCTTTGTTGAGAATTCAGGTCACCCTATATAGGTCACCAACTCTTGAGCCCGCAAAACACCCCATACCATAACACTTCCACCTCCATACTTGACAGTTGGTACTACACAGTCTGGTATCATCTTCTCACCAGTAAATCTTCATATTAGACCCAAAAATATCAAACTTTGATTCATCAGACCACAATACATTACTCCAGTCAGCAACAGTACAATTTTTGTGTTCCTTTGCCCAAAGAAGCCTTTTGACCTTGTTCTGCACTCTCAGCAGGGGTTTCTTGGCAGCTACACGCCCCATCAAGCCAGCTTCCCAAAGTCTCCTCTGCACAGTCGAAGTTGATACTGGCATAGCTTTAGTTGCATTAAGCTGTGCTGTGATTTCTGGTGCAGTTAGCTTTCTGTTACGTAGGCTGGAGACTCTTATAAACTTGTCCTTTGATTTTGTTGTTGATCGAGGTGTCACCATTCTTCCCTGTTTCTGCATGCCACTTAATGGTGTATGTTACAGTACTCACTGGCATTTTTAGTTTCTTCAATGTAACAATAGCATGCCTATTCTCTCTTGTTAGTTCACGTTTGTCTCATATGGTTGCCAGTGAATGTTATAAAAACATGCAAATATTACCCTAACCTGGGGTAAAACACACCCACTATTTGACAAACCGTTAAGCCCTAATTCAATTCAGCTGGACAGCACAGTCAGTCAACTGTGACTGAGACACTTCACTTTTATAGCATTATACCTGTATACAGGTACATGCAGTCATTTACAAACAAAATGTAGGCCATCATTGGAAAAGTTCAAGAGTTATGCTGTTCATGTTATTTCATTTCAAATAGAAGATCAAAAATGTTTTGTTGTGCTGTAGTATAATATATTACTTATTTTCAATACAATATTTGCTAAATTTTGTAATATATATGAAAACCATGGGGTGTCCAAAAACTTTTGACTGGTAGTGTATGTGAATAAAAGCCTTAATTTAATCTGATCATAAAGCGATTGTGTCTCTTCATAAAAAATTGGACTAAACTCAATATGGATTAGTTTTACGATCTCTTTATGAACTTTTTGAAACGTAAAAAAGTCAACGTGTCAGTTGCGTAGCTGGAGGGACAGAAATCTCTCAGATTTAATCAAAAAGATCTTGTGTTTAGAAGATGAACTGGTTTTATGGGTTTGAGACGACATGAGGGTACGTAATTAATGACATAATTTTAATTTTTGGGTGAACAATCCCTTTAACAAGAAAAAAAAATGAAATGAAGCATTTTAATATAGGCCTAGAACAAGTCAGAAAATGTAAATAGGCTATATATTTGATATTTTGGTAACACTTTATTTTACAGTGTTACACGTTACATAAATAAATTGTGCATAAGTACATGCAACCAACCCTAAACCACACCCTAACTCTATACCTAGGTAGGCTGTGGCAACACGGAGGTATTAACGACTACGCCACCTGGGAATTCTCAACCCAGGAATCAACCTAATCAAGATAGGCTGCACAGATTCTTTTCCCTTAATAGGACAAGAGACGTGGATGAATAAATAATTACTTGTTTTTATTAAAGGACACAAAAGATAAGAAATTGTTCATTGACAAAGACACAAAAGATAAGGTATTCACTGACAAATACACAAGGGAGATGTTCAAAATAATACTACAACGATGACCACTATAACTACACAAACCCTACATACAAAAAAAGAAATACACTTACTCACAAGGACCACACCCCGATATAACCAAAAAAAGAGCAGGGCTGAGTGTGGCCAGCAGCAGCGGGGAGACTCAAGAAGCACCACCACACTCAAATAAGTAATAAGAAATACACAAAAAAAATAAACCAAAACAATAAACCAAATCAGTTTCACCTTCAGTGCACATACACAGCACAAGATAATCCACAAGTCAAGCCCCGCCCATTTGTTCTTGGCCACTCAACCCCTGGTGCAAAAAAAGGACATTCACATACATAGAAACTGCAGGGCGCCGATATTCCTCCAATCAACCTGCATGCAACGGCAGTAACGTTGTTTTATTTTTATTCGGCCGCCGCCAAAATGAAATACTGGCTGGGAGACCTAGGCAAGACCCAGGGCTTGAGAATAAAAAGCGTGCCAATGCCAGATATAAGTATGCTGTTCGTTTTAAATCTAGAAATGAGCAAGCCATGAGGGCTGACTCTATGGCCAGTAAAATGATGAGCAACAATATCACTGACTTTTGGAAGGAGGTGAGGTCCCTCAATAATGTAAATCTTCCCTTTCCTTGTACTGTTGAAGGGGTCTCCGGAGAAGATAATGTTGCTGAAACATGGAGACAGCACTATATCTCCGTCTTCAGTAACGAATCTATAAGTATTCTGACACATGAGGTATTTGATGCCATAACAACAAAGCATGTGGCATGGATTTTATAACTGCAGAGCATCTGAAAAATGCCAGTTTTAGGCTTGCTTCCCTTTTAGCAATCAACTTTACTGGTTTGTTGATCCATGGCATACTACCAGATTCAATGTTATCTATTCTGCTTGTCCCAGTTATTAAGGACAAAGCTGGAAAAGCTGGCTGCCTAGATAATTATAGACCTATAGCATTGGCCAGTATCTTGTCCAAGGTAATGGAAAGAATCCTCCTTGATAGAGTGAGTGGGTATATCTCTTCCCTGGATAATCAGTTTGGATTTAAGCCAAACCATGGCACAGACATGTGTATTTATGCTCTGACGGAAATAGTGAATTTGTATAAGGCTAAAAATTCCACTATCTTCATGTGTTTTATTGATGCCTCCAAAGAATTTGATCGAATGAATCACAAACAGCTTTTTATTAAGCTAAAGCAAAGGGGAGTGCCTGGGTATATTGTGAGGGTTCTTGCCTATTGGTATACCCACCAGCAGATGCATATCAAATGGGGGGGGGGGGGGTAGCATATCTGCCCCCTTTAGAGTGTCCAATGGTGTT